CTCTGCTGGCAGTTCATTGAAATGTCATCCCATTAGAGTTCTTGATGTCCCAACTATGGAGACAGCTGAAATTGCTTAATCTCTTAAGCAGAATTCCTATTTTAGAAAGGTTTGAGAGGTTATGAGGATCAGAGAACATGTCTAGCCCTCCATCTTGTTGGTGACATGACCCAGAAAGGACTCAAGCCTTGTATATAAACATGGGATGCTCCCTCTTTATTAAGGGATGGTGATCAGAAGCACAATCATAATCTGATACTACTTTTCCTGGACTAACCTTATTTAGGGGGGCAGGTAGATATAATTCTGGTCCAGCACCCCCTATCTGAGGTGACCAGATCAGGCAGCTTTGAGGCCTGAAACTCCTGTTTCCCTCCTAGCAGGAATCTAAGTCACCCTTGGACAGGGGACGGTGGAGGAGACTCCAGGGATATCTATTCATATCTATACCTCTGAGCCACATCTAGACAGATCCACGGGGGTCATGTGTAACCTACATGGGCAACATTCACACATACATTCTTGGTTAATACAAGACTCATGGGAACCTTAGAGGGAAAGGTCCTAGGGGGTGGTAAGGGAAGGCCACCAGTAAAAGGTGGTCTTTGAACTAAGGTCCCTTGCAACTCTGAAATGCTGTGATTAGTACAGATTGATCAAGGCCCAACTCAGAGTCTGCAATTAAAAAAATGTTTGCTGATGATATCAAATCTGAGAAGGCCCCGCAGGTAATGGATACCCAAGCCCAGGAAATCTTCCAGACACCATGGAGGGAGGGAGGGAAAGGAGAACGAAGACATCTGATCAATCAGGCAGGTACGCATGACATTATCCACTGCCTCAATGAACACTAGCGTCTCTTAATGACAGAGAAGTGGACAACTGCATTAGGTAGAACAAGACAGTGAACTGGCTGTATTGGGGTGAAAGAGAGGCATGGGTGGGTATTGTTGAGGAAAATAAATTAAAGTTTCCAGATGGCCTGGAAAAAATGGAAGCCTGAGGTAATGGCAATGAGTGTGCTTTTGGATTTCCTTGTGGGTCTCGGGTAGAACCAGCTCAGCAGTCCTGAAGGAGATGAAGGCTGGCCAAAGAACGCGTCCTGGCCTGCCAACTTGAAGGCGGCGGATTTCCAGGACGGGCCAGCGGCTCCTGGACAAGCTGACAGCAAAGCTTTCCTCACTTTTCTAAGAAATCCTGAGCCAAGGTCAGAGAATCCTTCATTTCCCAGGACAGGTTTCCCACTGCAGGAGAAAGGGGTTGTTGACACCTTCCATGTTTTCCTGGAGACCAAACGGCTATTTCTGATGAAATCTAACTTAGTTGTTTCTTTTGAAAATCACTGGATTCTAAATTTCAACTACAAGGGACTTGAGAAACCACCTCATCCATGCTCCTTATTTTCTAATCTTCAGTCAAGTAAACAGTCATTTATTAAGCACCTACTGTCTGCCAGGTACTCTGCTGAACGTTAGGATAGAAAAGAGAAAGGGAGGAAATAAACAGCATGCCAGGCTATAAACAGTATCTCATTTCAACCTCACAACAACCCTGGAAGGTAGGGGCTATCATCCTTATTTTACAGCTGAGGAAGCTGAAGCAAACAGTGGGTAAGTGACTTGCCCAGGGTCACACAACTAGTAAGTATCTGAGGTCACATCTGAACTCAGGACTTCCTGACTCCAGGTTCAGTGATCTACTTGTACCAGCAGTTGCTTCTAAAGCAGAGAAGCACAAAGAAAGGTAAAAGACAGTCCCTGCCCTCAAGGAGCTTGCAGTCTAATGGGGACATTGTACAAACATGCTATAGACAAGGTAATTTTGAGAGGACAGAAGAAGGCGCTAGAATTAAGAGGGTTTGGAAAGTTTCCCTATAGAAGGTGGGATTTTAGCTGGGACTTGAGGAGGGAGCATCCTAGGCATGGAGACAGCCACAGAAAAAGCCTGGAGTCAGGAGATGGAATGCTTTGTGTAATGGCAAAAAGGCTGATGTCCCCGGAAGGCAGAGTGAGTGGAGAAGGCTGAGATGTAGGAAGCCTGGAAAGGTAAGAAGGGGACAGGTTTATGAAGGGCTTTAGAAGCCAAACTGGGAGCACCGAGGTGGCAAAGACCTGGGTTTAAATCCAGCTTCAGACACTTACTAGCTGTGTGACTCTGGGCAAGTCACTTAGCCCCATTTGCCTCAGTTTCCTCATCCGTAAAATAAGCTGGAGAAGGAAATGACAGACCACTGCAGTATCTTTGCCAAGAAAACCCCAAACGGGGTCACAAAGCATCAGACATGACTGCAAAAAGCCAAACAGAGGGTTTCATATTTGTCCTGGAGGTAACAGGGAGCCACTGAATGTGAGGAGAGGAGACGTGACAAGTTCAGACCCGTATTTTGCAAATCACAAGATCATAGATTTGAACTGGAAGATGCCTTAGAAATCAGGAAATCTACGCCTCTCATTTTGCAGTGGAGGGAACCATACAGGGTAGGCTCATAGGAAGTTCTGTGACTTGCCCACCGTCACTCAAATGTTGGGCTGCAGCCACAGCTGGGGCTTGAACCCAAAGCTTCTAACCCAGTTCTTCTCCCACAGGACACATTTTAATTCAAACGTTTACCGGGCGTGGGAGATGCTAGGTACTAGACACTGTAATAAATGCTGGGGATACAAGGATGGGTGAGAGTCCCTGCTCCTGAGACGCTTACAATCTAATCGGAGGAAAAGAACCATCTCGGGGCCACAAGGTGGCAGAATGGATAGAGCTCTGGCCTTGGAGTCAGGAGGACCTGAGTTCAAATCTAGCCTGGGATACTTACTAGCTGTGCAATCCCAGGTAGGTCACTTAACTTCGGTTTGCCTCAGTTTTCTCAACTATAAAATGGGGATAAGACACAGGGTTGTTGTGAGGATTAAAAGAGATAAAAAGAGATCTGTAAAGCACATAGTAGTACTATAGAAATGCTCACTCCCTTTACGTCCATCTGCCCCAAGTAATGAAGCTAAAGTAGAGGAATTGTGAGGTGGTGGGTAGAGAGCTAGCCCGGAAGCCAGGAAGACTTGGGTTCGAGTCCCACTTCTGACCTATTCTAGTGTCAGCTTAGGCAAGTCTAGACAACTCGCTAAGACTGAACTGCAGAGGAGGTCCCCACCAGTATCTGCAGAGGGAATGTGCTCCTTCGGGAGTTCCTAATACCAGTAAAACCACAGGTCCAGCCCCTAGTCCTGTCCTAATTACGCTAAGCATCCCCCAAATCACGAGGCTACAATCTGTTTGCTCCCTTACAGAAATCTTGCTTTTCTAGACACAAAATCCATGAGCTGTGTCAATGCTCTCAGCTGATGTGCTTGCAGTCTTGACACCGGCCACAAGGGGGCAGCAGATGCCAGAAGAATGAGCCACCACCAACCATCTTCGACCTAAAGCTGGAAAAAGCCTTAAAATAAATGAGGAAACTGAGGCACAGAGAGGTGTAGGTAGAGCACGGGGTCTGGAGTCAGGAAGACTCTTTTTCCTGAGTTCAAATGTGGCCTCAGACACTTCCTAGCTGTGTGACCCTGGGCAAGTCACTTAAGCTTGTTTGCCTCCGTTCCCTCATCTGTAAAACAAGCTGGAGAAGGAAACAGCAAACCACTCCAGTATCTCTGCTGAGTCATGAAGAGTCAGACAGGCCTGAAACGACAGAACCACCACCAACCAATGGCAACACGTTGATCATACTGGACAGCACGCTCAGTGGGGCTCACGAGCAGAGCTAACAGAAGTCCTAACCCCTCTCGGCGATGCTAGAACACTGAAGAAACAGGCTGGCTGCTTTCTGTGAATCTAGCCTACTGTACATTGGGAAACGAAGGTGGAGGGGCCACCACATGAGTGTAGCAGGAGTTCAAGTGCCCAGGGGAACTGGAGTCTCAAAGTCAGAAGAACTAAGATCGGATGGGAGACTTAGGGAGGTCACTGAGTCGAACCCTCTCCTTTAACAGATGGAAAGAGGGAAGCACAGAGAAGTGAACAGAATTAATAAGTGCCTGGGGCAGGATTTGAACGCAGGGTCTCCGGACTCTACCATCTCACACCGGGACAATGGTGGAAGCTTCTCCTGGGAGGGTCCCCCTTGAGTCCATCCTCCCTGCTGGACAGGGATAACCTGGCATGAGAAGGAGTCAGAGAGCCGTGCCAGCTACAGAAAAGCAATGGTAGGAGCTTAGGCCCATTTCAGACTGGATAACTGATGAGAATTTTAAGCACAACAAATTTAAAACTGAACTCTTTATGTCTCTCCCCAGCATTTTTTTTTTTTGCTTTTTGGTGAGGCAATTGGGGTTAAGTGACTTGCCCAGAGTCACACAGCTTGTCAGCGTCAAGTGTCTGAGGCCAAGTTTGAACTCAGGTCCTCCTGACTCCAAGGTTGGAGCTCTATCCACCGCACCACCTAGCTGTCCCCAAGGCCATCACCATTCTATCAGTCACTGAGGTTCTCAGCCTTGGAGCCAATTCATGAGTCCTCACTGTCCAAGGAGATGCTGGGTCTTGTGCGAGTATGTTTTTCCCCTTAACAACATCTCTTGGACCCTGTCCTTTCACTCCACCCCCACAGCCACCAGCCTAACTTGGACCCTCTCCTGGGCTCCTGCAACCACCTTCTAATGGTTCTCCCCACCTCTCCAGGCCATCTTCCATACAGCTGCTGAAATGATTTTTCTAAACAAGTCTGACCACATCACAGATCTTTTCAATTAAAGCCCAGTAGCTCCTAATTACCTCCAGAAGCAAAACCAAAAGAACAAAACACAGCCGCTTCCACTTGTCATCCAAATCTCTTCACAATTTGGTCTCAATCTTTTCCCAACCACATTACACAGGAACTCCCCATTATGCTCTCTACGGTACAGTCAAACCGGCTGCCTCACCTCTTCTTATTCATAGGACTCCATCGCTCGCAAAGGTAAGAGTGCTGGACTTGAGTCAGGAAGACCCAAAGTTGAATCTTCCGTCAGATTCTTACTTACCTGCATGACCCTGCTGGGCCACGGCCAGTCATCTTGACTTTTATCTTGCCACGGGGCTCCAAGGATTCTGGAAGACAGAGTGGAGCTGATGACTCTTCAAAGCTCTGCTTCACTTAAATCCAGTTCAGGACATCATCTATGTGATATTACTGATCCTTTTCCAGAACGGAGGATGAACAATTTCAGTGCCTTCTCTCTTTTAGTGATTTCCTATTTATCCTGTATGTAACCTGCTGTTTGTACATATTTGTTCGCCTGCTGTCTACTCTATTAGATTCTAAGCTCCTTGAGGGCAGGGACCGTCTTTTGCCTCTCTTTGTATCCCCAGCCCTTAATATAGTGCCTGGCACACTGTAGGTGCTTAATGTTTACTGACTGATCATCTAATCATTGATCACTTAGCAGAGTACATTTTTAAAGACACTTCAATAGATTTTGAGCATCATCTCTGACCTATTTGATTTTTTTTTCCCCATACCGGGTATTCTACCTCTCGCCTCCCCACCTTTGCACAGGCTGTGCCCCGTTGCCTAGAATGCTTTCCCTCTTTGTGTTTGGTACTTGGAGCTCCTAGCTCCCTTCAAGGGTCTACTCACGTGCCACCTATGGCAAGAAGTAGCACTTTCCTGAACTAACCTCTTCTTACGCTTTCTGGGGGTACCCTCCTTCTCCAACACAAGCTCTCGTCTGTTGGCAAAGCTCCCAGAACTGTGCCTGACACACAATGGGAGCTTAATGGTTTTTTAATCCTTGCAGAGGGGCATTGCTAATCTCTTCTATATCATTCCAATGTTAGTCAACATGTTTTCACAGCTGCCTCATGCAGGAGTGAAGGTGACTCAGAATCCTTGAAGGCTATGCCAAGCAGGCAACCTCTAGCAGGGTCTACCATGATGGGAAGGAAGGCATTGAGTATGGGCCACGAGAGTCTGTCCCTTCCCAAGGATCAGCCTACCTCAGAACTGAGAGGTTCATGGCTAATAGAATGTCTTCACTCCCAACCCTCAAAAGCTTCAATTGAAACACTCTGTGTAGTTTCCCAATTCCATCTGTACCAAAAACTCTCTTTTGCCACTGAACTTCCTTGAGAGTAGGGATTATTTCATTCTTTATAGTTGTATCAATACCTAGTACAGGGCCTGGAACACAGTGGATACTTAAATGCCTACTGACTGATTTATAAATTGTTGGTAACACCTTTTTTTTCCGTTTGTTTCTTTGGCATGGACCTCTAGGGTGTCTCAAAACTCCAAGTGTTAATTATGTGTATCTCCAACTCACCCCATCCCCTTCCTGGCCCCAGGCGAAAAGAGACTTAATTTTCTTCTCTGTAGCCTCACCTCCTGGCACCCAGCAAGCAGAGGGAAGGACTGGGCTTTATTCATAGGATACCAGATCTAGGACTGGAAGGGAAGTCCCTTTAGTCCAAGCTCCTCATTTTCCATCTGAGGGAATGAGCCCAGAGAGATGAACCACTTGACCCAAGATCCCGCAGGTTCTAAGGACTAGAGTCTGGCTTCAAACATCTCTCTCTCCACACTGACTAGCAAGGCATCCTTCAGGCAGGATGAGCTTGATCAGTATTGAATTTGCTGAATCTCAAGAAAGTTAAGGAGTTTGAAGGCACAACTGGTTGTGCAATTCTCAATGAGGTCACTCGTGGTGGTCAGATCACTAATTAGAAATCATCCTTTTGTTAATGACTCGGACCATATTATCCTGTATTGTTCCCTAATCCAAATATATTTCCACTTTCCAAGCTAGTTGGTCCTGACTTCTATAGAGAAGGCAGCTGAATGGGTGGGATTCTGATAGGGGGTCTGCTCCACAGCACCTCTGTGACTAAAGGTGCCTCTATCAGTATCATCTTCCTCATTTGAAAAGTGCAGGTTGGGCTAAATGACCTCAAAGGTATGTCTTTTAGCTCTAAGCCTCCATCTGATCCTGGGTTGGATTAGATAGCCTTGGAGGTCTCTTTCAATGCCAAGAATTTATGAGCTAAAAGCTTTGGCTTCATCTAATGCCAGACAAGTTCCTGAAGGATCAGAACCTGGCTGTTAGTGACCTAAAGAAGAACTATAGAACTAATTCTAAGAATGACTATTCTAGGTCTGCAAGCACTGAAACCTAGTAGTTCAAATCAATTCATATCACCGTTACCCTTCCACAAGTATCCTCATCCTGGGCAATATAGGAGCTCTGTATTCAACATGGAAAACTGCAAGCAGGTAACATTTCTCAGTGGTTGCTCTAAGCTGATGACAGAAAGGCATTCTCACTTTCATGGATGTTCCTGTCAAGTCCCATAATGATCACTGAAATTTTGGCTGCCACCATTAGAAGTGTTCACTGACTAAGCGGAGCTGTCCCATAGGGGAGTTGTCCCCTCTTGGCCTTCAGTATAATTAGGCAGTTCACAGGTAAGAGAAGGCAAGTGAAAGCAAAGCTTCAATTGCTAACACAGCTAAAACATTCAGGAAAGGTACCTGAGGTAGGAACATTGTTCAACAGGAAAAGAGAGGTGCCAGCACTTGGCTATCAGGCATTTACTTCGCCAGACAGATGTTCAGAGTATTTCAGCAGAAATTATACACTTGGAATACTGCTTTCTCTGTAGGCCACTAAGGTTTTGGCTAATAATAAACATATGCAACTTACTCACTCTGAATAGGAAATATAAGTGAATTAAAACTCTGAATATATAAATATATATGTATGTATATATATATATATGTGTGTGTATATATATATATATATATAAAATATATACATATATATTTTTGGTGAGGCAATCAGGGTTAAGTGACTTGCCCAGGGTCACAGAACTAGTAAGTATTAAGTGTCTGAGGCTGGATTTGAACTCAGGTCCTCCTGACTCCAAGGCCAGAGCTCTATTCACTGCACCAACAAGCTGCCCAAAACTCAGTATTTTTAAAAAATCTCGGGGAATGTGGTGTATGCTTTGGAGTTCCAGTATATTCATTTAACTGACATTTATGAGGCACTATATCTCAAATAATGAAGTGGCCCTTCTCCCTTGACAAGGCAAACTCCTCTGCATGCACAAATGATCCCATTCTATCTCTTCTTCTCCAGCAGACTTCCCTCTATCCACCACAATCTCACCCCACCTACTGGCTGCTTTCTTATTGCCTATAAACATGCCCTGTCTCCCCCATTTTTGAAAAACTCCCACTTGATCTGATCATCCCCAATAGCTACTATTCCATATCCTTCCCCTTTTTGTGGTTAAACTCCTTGAGAAGGCAATTAAGTCTGTGGCTCCACTTCCTCTCCTCTCACTCTGCAGTCTAGTTTTCACCTCATTATTCAACTCAATCTTAATGGACAAACTAATGGACTTTTCTCAGTTCTCATCCTTCTTGGCCTTTCGGCATGAAGCCTTTGACAATGGCAATCATACTCCTCTTCAGAATCTCTTCCTGCTAGGTTTTCATGACTGCTCTCCTGGCTCTCTTCCCTCCTGTCTGAATGCTCCTTCTCAGACTCCTTCGCTGGATCTCCATTCATGCAAGTCATACCCACTAATGGGGTGTCCCTAAAGGCTTTGTCCTGGGCCCTCTCCTCTTCTACCTCTATGCAATTTTGCTTAATCTCATCAGTTCTCATGGTTTCAATTATCCAACAATTACGCCAATGACTCTCAGATCTACTTACTGAGCCCCATTATTGCTCAAGTTTCACATTTCCAACTGACCATTGGATATCTTGAACTAGATGATTTGTAGAATGACTTCATTATCTTTCTCTCCAAATCCTCCCTCCTTCTGACCTTCCATAAAACTGCTGGCATCCTCCTCCTCCTCCTCCTCCAAGTCATCCAGGCTTACAACTAGGTGTCATCCTTGACTCCTCATTCTCTTGTCCCCTCATATCCAATCAGTGTCCAGTAAGCAGCGTCATTTCTATCTTCCTAAACATAACCCTCCCTCCACCCCACTCTTTGCTCTGCCACTGCCACCATCCTGGCATACGCCCTACGACATCTCACACCTAGACCACTGCAACAGTTTTCTGGTCCGTCTTCCTGCTTCAAATTTCCCCCCACTCCAATCCACCTCCAGATTGTCAAAGTGCAGGTCTGACCACGTAACTCCCCTATTCGACAGACTCTGGTGGCTTCTCATTTACCTCCAGGATCACATATAAGAAGCCTCTGGCTTTTAAAGTCCTTTAGAACCTGACCCCTCCTTACCTTCCCTGCCTTTTGCTTTCCTGCCTCTTTCATCTCTAGAATGTTTTCCAGTGTCACCATCATCAACAGGAAATACTATTAGTTTCCCAGGCTTCTAGAACAGCTTCACTTTTCAAACAAAAACATCAAGGAGAGGGTAGATGGACTCGCAAATCATTTCTATGTATTTCCAACGCTGTCCGGAGTCAGTTTATCAACAACTTTATTCAAGTCATTTTTCCACATCTCCCAGATCATGGTTTCTATAATTTTTGTTGTTGTAGTTATTGCTGAAAATTTGATGGATCTCGTGCCAGGCATGAAAGGTCGTAAACATCTGGTGGCTGCACTTCTTGGTAAAACCAACACAAAAGAGGGGGAACAAGTAGCCACCGGTGGTTTTGACATCGACATGAGATTCACTCATGGGCTACCATGTGTCCGCTAAGGTCCACTTCACGGAAAGCAGTCAAACAATTTTAATCTGAACATCGTCAGTAATCAGCTTAAACCAAAGAAAAACAATCTCATCATTGTGCAGGTCAGTAAGCGAGCTTTCAGAAACATTCTCCTTAAGACCATTAGAAGCAATTTTCATTCCTTTTAGTTCCTGGGTCTGGTGTCTTCCCAGTATTGTATATATTGAATGTAGTTCACATCATACTGATCTTTTAAAAAAAAAAAGAAAGAAAGAAAGATTAACCACTTCCTTCTCAGTTCCTTTTCCATCACCTTCAGCTCTAAGCAAGGAGAAAGGATTTTAAAAGATCCGAAACAAAGGGTAGTATGTAGTGAGATTAAATTTTATCAGCATAAAAAGTCTTTCACTAGGTTATTAGAAAAACACACACACATGTACAAACTGCAAATACGGGATGGGGGGTGTGTACTTAGACCTTAATTCATATGAAAAAAGGACCTACAGGGCTTTAGTGGGTGCACCCCAAACGCACCGGATGACTTGAGGTTGCTCCAAGTATAGCACCTGAAGTCCTCCTGTAGTCTGCTCTGGTCAGACCACATCTGGTGCATTGAGGAAGGACAACCACAAAGAGAGACCAGGCTAGTGAGGGGCTCAGGAATGGTGCTCCTTGAACAGAAGAATTTATGACCAAACAGGAGAGAGAGAGAGAGAGAGAGAGAGAGAGAGAGAGAGAGAGAGAGAGAGAGAGAGAGAGAGAGAGAGAGAGAGAGAGAAAGAGAGAGAGAGAGAGCGAGAGCGCATTATGAAATGCAAAACGGATAATTCTGATTCCATTAAGTTGAAAAGTTTTTGCACAAACAAAGCCAATGCAACCAAGATTAGGAGGGAAGCAGAAAACTGGGGAAGAATTTTTATAACCAGTGTCTCTCATAAGGTTCTCATTTCTAAAACATACAGAGAACTAAGTTAAATTTATAAGAATACAAGTCATTCCCCAATTGATGAATGGTCAAAGGATATAAACAGACAGTTCTCAGATGAAGAAATTAAAGCCATCTATAGTCATATGAAAAAATGCTCTAAATCACTGTTGATTAGAGAAATGCGAATCAAAACAACTCTGAGGTACCACATCCCACCTATCAGATTGGCCAACATGACAAAACAGGAAAATGATCAATGTTGGAGAAGATGTGGGAGAATTGGAACACTAATGCATTGTTGGTGGAGTTGTGAAATGATCCAACCATTCTGGAGAGCAATTTGGAACTATGCCCAAAGAGCTATAAAAATGTGCATACCCTTTGACCCAGCAATAGCACTTCTAGGGCTGCATCCCAGAGAGATCATACAAATGGGAAAAGGATCCACATGTACAAAAGTACTGATAGCAGCTCTCTCTGTGGTGGCAAAGAACTGGAAATCAACGAATGGCTGAACAAGGTGTGGTATATGAATGTAATGGAATACTCTTGTGCTATAAGAAATGATAAGCAGGCAGACTTCAGAAAAACCTGGAAAGACTTGTACGGACTGATGCTGAGTGAAGTGAGCAGAACCAGAAGTTGTACAAAGTAACAGTCATAATGTGTGATGACAAACTTTGATAGACTTAGCTCTTCTCAGCAATGCAAGGATCCAAGACATCTCCAAAAGTTTCAGGATGGAAAATGCCATCCACAGCCAGAGAAAGAACTGTGGAGTTGGAGTGCAGATCAAAGCACACTATTTGCTCTTTTTTTCCCCTTCTGTTTTGTTTTGTTTCTTCTTTCTTGTGGTTCCTCCTATTGGTTCTAATTTTTCTTTACAACATGACTAATGTGAAAAGATGTTTAAAAAAAATAATTTGTATTGCCTAATACAAAAACAAACGAACAGTGCTCCTTGACAATGCGTTGATTGAGGCGAGTGGGGATGTTTAACTTGGAGTCATTCTCTTAAGAGATCTGAGGCAAAATCTTCCACTAATTTGAAAGGTTAGCCTATAGAAGATAATGTAAACTTGTTCTGTTTGGCTCTGAGTAGATGAAAGACCAATGCGGGAAAAGTTAGAGAGAGGTGGATTTGGGTTTGATGTAAAAGTAAATGTAACATAACTTGATCCAGACCTGTGATTTCTTTGGTGAAAGAACTTCTAGAGTAGAAAATTACAAAGTTCCTCCTTTGATTCATAATCACTTAACATCCCAGAACCCATACAGCTCTCTAAGTTACAAGTATGCCACACACACATCTTGTAACTTAGAGAGCTGTGAGGGTTCTGAGACGTTAGGTAATTTATTTGCCCAAAGTCATTTAGCTAATAGGTTTAGTAGGCTCAACAAGACATCGGCAAGGAAACACTGATCTATAGGCAACTTCAGTAAATGAAAAGACATTTTGAGCAAAGAAAATCTTAAAACAACTTTAGGAGGAAAAACATCTCTAAGACTTTTAACATCAACATTGCTTACCTTGACAACGCTTGCCCTCTCAGTCAGCACCAAAGCTCACAGCCTGCGGATACAAATTCATTGAGCAAAGACACACAGTTCAGATGACACTGGGTTCATTCATGACCAAGGGGCAATTATCAGAAGTCCTAGGGCTAAAATGGATCATGCCCTTTTTTTGCCTAAAATCTCCTTTAAGAAAAGAAATGATTAATTTCTTGTTCTTTATGGTTTTCTTGAGTCTTCTCAGCTCTGAAATATCTGCCTCAGTCCACCTACTGATCTCAAATCACTTATCATGCCCTGCCTCAATTTCCCCATATGTAATATAGGGATAACAATAGCACTTATCTCCCAAGGTTGATATAAGGAAAAAACATTTGTAAAAGATTCTACAAACCTTAAAGCGCTAAATAAATTCTAATTGTTATTATTACCAATCACTGATCCTCAAAAGGATCCATGTCCTAGATGGCATTTTAATTTAACGGTCTGTATTTAGAATAAACCAAATTACTAAAATAGAAAAATAAATTACACAACCATGTTAACACATTACAAGTGTGTTATAAAGAAAGACATTATTATAAAAGTAATATGACTTCTTGGCATGACTAAATTTAAGAGTCAAAAAACTGGCTATGATTTTTAAAATTCCCAGTGGAAGATATGCTGAAGGCTATTCCTAGATGTTGCCAGAGAAATAAAAATGTTTTGTATGCCACAGCAAGATGACTTAAGCAGGTGGAAGGTCATATTCATTCTGAATGGTCTCTCAGCCCTGTCTTCACAGAGGGCCTATGTACTCAAACGAAAAAGGCATTTGCCAGAAGTTGGCATAGCTCCTGATAGAGACACTGGCCTACTTATTAGTACGGGTTATTTTAAGAAAGTTGTTTTCAGGCCAAAGAAGCCCTAGCTGGCACTGGGGAGAAGACTGGAATCCAGACACAGGGAAAAGGGGAATGGGGAATGCAGGTTTTGGCTCGTTTCTATGACCCTGGGAATGTCACTCGCCCTCATAGACCTCAGTTTCCCCTTCAAGTGTCCATCAAAAGCTCTTTCCAGATGGATTTTATCCTTTACCCAGTCTGCAAAGCTCCCTTATGCAGGCACGTCGAAGCAGAGTCCCCTGCCTACAAGAGATGCCTGATAATATGTGTGTTTGTGCATATGTGTGTGATTTTAGAGTGAGTGGCAAAGGCAGGTGTGTGACCTGGGCAAGGCCATTTACTCAGGTCATTTTCCCGATCTGCAAAATAAGGATATTAGAGAAGATGATCTTTAAGGTTCCTTCCACTTCAGTGATTCTATATATCCAAATAAACGACATCATGCATGGAAGTGAGCGAGGCCCTCTCTAAGGCAGTTTCCTTGGGAGACCGACTGCTAATTCTATCATGATGGCAGGGCCCCACGTAGCACTTGACACTTAGATGCTTGCTGGATGGATATATTGCTAGATTTGGGGACTGCCTTCTGAGCCAGGAGCATGTTCTTCTGCTTGACTTCGATGGGGACAGATTTTCATCCTTATAATTTTGATCTTTGGAAATAAAAGTCATCTGGATTTAGGTTTAGTGAATAAATGAGTGATCAAGCTGGGAAGTAACATTTTTGCCTGAAACAAAACAAAACCCAACCTTTATGGTTATATCTGATATGAGGAAGAGGTGTGTATATCTCTGTGTATGTATGTGTGTGTTTGTGTGTGTGTCTAACAACAGTTCCAAGAGAAGCAATAAAAACCTGCTTCTAGCAACAACCACACTGCTTAAGCAAAGGTACTGTCTTGACAGGGGATAACACTAATTTATGGTGGTGTTGTGTGAAAAAAGAATTAGCTGATTTAGTAGAACATTTTGTATATATAAGTATGGTAGGCTGTTACCATCAAATAGCTATAACCAGCTTTTAAGTCAAAAGTTCAGTCAACTCATTTTAAATATGTCAAAATATTTTAAAATATTTTCCCTTATTTTAAAAACCAGAAAACTTCAGCTCCTGCAGATCAAATAAAAAAGTTGCCATGGGAGCTTGGAATTGGTATTCAGAAAGTTAAGGGCGCGTATGTACGTATAAATTTGTTGTTCCTAAAACATCTTCACCTCTCATGGTAGAAATGATTGTCAAGTTATCTTGCCTGATTACAATATCTCAGTATTTGTATTAGGATAAAAATATCCAGATGCGAAATTGAGTGAAAACAAGAAGATGGTTGCTTACAAACACTGGGTTCATATCACATAATTGTTTCACTATTTTATGTTAAGGGACTGGAGCTTTTCAACACTCTCAGTTATGAAAAGGAAAGAAATGTTAGGGGTAGGAGATTTATGAATGATCTAATTAAACAAGGCTTACAGTTTTTTACAAATCTCTAAGAATACCAAACATACCATATGTAGGTGACTGTCACACTGCCATTTGAGGACCGGTGCATTATGAACCCAGCAGTAATGTCAACCCCAAAGATTTCAAATGAGATCCAACTCAAACATGCATAGGGAGAGTAAAGTTATTTTATTAAATCATGCACATCACGTGTGTTAGTGCAAATAGTTTAATCTGTATTCCAGAAATTCTATTGTACTTTATATCTTTACAAAATAGATTTAAAACAATTATTTACTTTAAAAAATGTAATTCTGAAGTTAAGCATTTCAGAACAATATTTGCAATAACCTATATACAAGAGGTACAGAGTACCACTGGCATATGAGCATTCTGTGGGGCAATAGCTTTCTGCAACAGAAAAATGGTGAAATGAACAAGGTGATATTTTCTACAAGTCATTTGTGGACTAATTCTTCCATAAATCTAATGGTTCTCTCAACAGCAAATCCCCAATAGCTTAAAATATAACCTTTAACATATAAACAATGACCCCCAAAACCTCACAAGGCAAATTATATACTAAACTCCTATTTAAGTATTTGGCGAGGCCTGTAGATTGCCATGGAGAAACCAAGCCAATTCATTGAGTTTTTTCTCATCTCCAGTTTCTAAGAAATCTTCACTCCATTAATACTTCGGTATATTATAGAGATTTCAGTAAACTTTATTGACATAACCATTGAGCTACAAAAAATTGTAGCTCACTTTTTGACTGGGGCATTTAACTGATAAGATCCCAACTGAAGTAGTGCTTCTCATGAACAAAACTACTCAGTTTAAAAAAATGACAAAAACAAAACAAAAAACCCAAAAAACCAAAGTCACTTGTGTCCATAACCGTAAGATTCATTCCCTGGGTTTACAGCAATTCACCTCGTCCAGTAAATCGATCAGCTATAGATGCACTCCAAACTCTTGTAACAAAGTTAAGCCAATAAAAGTTTATCTAAAGAAGACACATTTTCCTTCTTTAAAGCAGTGTTTGGAAGAATAAGTGAGGAGGAAAAAAAACCAAACAAACCATGCCTCCTAAAATGTTGTAGATGAGAAAGTAAAGAAATGGTCTCTCTACTTTGAATGCATAAAATTGAATAAATTACTTTCCAATTGAATAGTTTGGTTTACTGTTGCTGTAGTTGTGAAATGATTATCTTTTTGCTCCCAGAAATACTTCAGTTCACTCAAGAAAATACACACACTCTTACAAAGTTTTTCCAGGCTGATGCCATCCACAACTTCAAGTCACATTAAGGCTGTACCAAAAAGCATGTATATTTCTCAAACTGCTGCTAAAACAGAACCTTTCCCAAATGTGTCTTTTTCTTGAAAAAAATCTATGGAAGTAGCAGTTGTCTCTAAGTCTTGTTCCCAATAGCTCAGTGGTTTATAGCAAGTAAAAATGGTGTCAATATGTAAAAAAAATATATGTGCATATATTTATTTCAAAACGATAGGCACTGAGCACACAGCGCCTCTTTTCCCATGTATGTATTTACCAGTTGTTTGATTTGGGGAGGTGTCCAATCAGAAAATGAATTATCTGGCAATCAGCATCTAGAGTAAAATAGCCATAAACCTAAACGTTATAAATAATTTGGTACCAAGAAGCCTACTTTAGGCCACCATTATATTTAGAATCTCAACATACTAATTAAAAAATTACATGAAAAATTGCAAGCAAATTATTGCTTACAGTAGAATAAAGTCACAATTTTATTCCCTCTTTATAGACAGATACATTTTATACAATTTAGAGCAATGACCCCGACTGTTCTTGTCTTGCACTTCTGTTGTGTTAAGAGGTAAAAAGGAAGAAAATGGGTCTGTTCTCCCCGCCAGCTTCTAAGAGGAGGGCAGGGTATGGAACCAACCAAAGTTCTCATGGTGAAGCTCTGGTTAGGCCTGGTACGTACAGCACTACAGCTGTCACAGCTACCAGAGCTGCCAACATGGGCATCCAAGGCCAGTGTCTCTGTGTAGAAAGAAACCAAGAGTCAATATCACATTTCCCTCAGGCCTTTCATACCAACTAGTGAACTAAGCCCTCTGTCCAAAGAAGCTTGAGGCCTCATCACAAAGCACAGTGAATCGTAATTCTACCTCTCACTGTCAGAAAATCTTGACTTCTTAAACCAGGAGACTCATTTAAAAAACAAAAAAGGCAATCTGACTGGCAGGTACAATTCCAGTGGCCAACTATGCAGAAGGGTAACACATCACCAGGAAATGTCCTTAGCCGTTCTCAACCTGGCTACACATTTGGCACCTAGAAGAGAGACTTCTGTTAAACCTCTCGGGATTGAAACTCCTTTATTCATGCTATACCAAGATTTTTCAGCAGTCTAAAGTAATGAACTGTACAGAGGTACTTCCGCCACAACACATTTAGACTAAATTTTAGGTTTCTCAATTCAAGGCCCAGCATGTGTTAAGGGCAAGTCTATGGGGGGGGGGGAGGTAGACTGGGGTAAGGGGTAGAATGACCTGAACACCACACGAGACTTAAAAAATAGATAGTTTAAAACCTGTGCTAAATTCCACTTGGTATACTTCAGGTAGACTTCTGACCCAATTTAGCGCAGTTTGCATACTGGTTCCATGTTAAACAAATCTGCCCACCAATTAGAGAAATGCCATGGGCTATGCAAACCAACCCTGAAATCAACCCTAAGTCTTTCCTTTTAGGACCAACCTGATCTTGTTATCAGCTTTCCTTTCATTTGTTCCCGGCGGGGATCGACCACCTCCCCCCCCCACCTCCCCCCAGAACAAAAACCAATAAAGCTGAACTGCTTTTAAACTAATGTTTTCTCTTTAACAAGTCAGAGATCAGAAAGCTATGGCCAAGGGTGTGTTGGACGAGAGGAGCCGTGCAGGCTTAATTAGGTCTGGGAAAACGAGTCCATTATTCCAATTTCATCCTTTTTCATCTTCTTCACAGCCATAGTGA